GGGGGTGGGGGAGAGGAGGGCAAAAAAAAAAAAAAAAGAGAGAAGAAAAGAAAGAAAAAAGGAAGGAGCAGAGCAGGTGAAAGCAAAGTTGCTTTTATGGCTATCCCCGTGAGCCACGCTTGTTCACACGAGTGAAAGGCAAGGGACTCCAACATGGTAAAGAATATAGATTTTGGCACCAAAGAGGAATGAGTTTGTAATTTGGCTCTGCCACTTCCTAGCTATGTGACCTTGGGTAAGGGACATGACCTCTCTTAGTCTGTTTTTCCTAGTGTAAGAAGAGTTAGTTAAGCTAATCTCACATAGTTATTTGGAAGTTATAGGAAGATTATATAAGATAACATTTGGGAAAACACTGAAAAATATATTCTCGGGGTGCCTGGGTGGCTCAGTTCAGTGGCTGCCTTCGGCTCAGGTCATGGTCCCCGGGGTCCTGGGATCGAGTCCGGCATCGGGCTCCCTGCTCAGCGGGGAGCCTGCTTCTTCCCCTGCCTTCCACTCCCCCTGCTTGCGCGCGCGCTCTCTCTCTGTCAAATAAATAAATAAAATCTTTAAAAAACCCTACAAAAACATATTCTCTTCCATTCTCCTCTTCGTTATGGGATGTGGGCCCGGGTATGCCAGGGAAGGCTTTCTAAAGACAGTGACTTTTTGCACTGACTTTTCCAGAGGATGGAAGAGAAGCAGAGAGGCAGAGGGGCATCACGGGATGCTCTAAGCAAAGATGAAGGGAGACCAGGATTCGCAGAGAACGGGCAGGACATCTGGTTAAGTTTGAATTTCAGATAAGCAGCAAATAAGCTTTTAGTATACAAAAATGTTTGGGACCTATTTATACAACATATTCATTGTTTATCCGGAATTCTTATTTAAGTGGGTGTCCTGTATTTTGATTTGCTAACTCTGGCTTCCCTCAGTGAGACCGGGGTGAGCTGCTGGGCCGTGGGGAACAGAGTGGGCTGGGCGTCCCCCGTTAGGAGAAGGCCTGTCCTCATACCTGTTTTCTAAGTTTTGTGGGGTTTCAGCTGAGAGGACAGGACTTAAGCTGCAGTGTCATGAGATTTAGTGAGACTGAACCGAACTGAAATGCTACACACGGAGGGAGCCTGGCCCTCAGGACAACAGCATCCCAAGCAGGTGGGCATTCTTTGCTCCTGGACGCAGAGGAACGTGCGCCCAAAGCAAGTGGTCAGAACGAATGGGAGGCTCGGGATTCCCCCCACATTCTCTCCCAGCACTTGTGCCTTCTCAGGCCCAGCCAGGCCCTGGCTCTCCCGCTAGGGCTAGGGCAAAACGGGTCCCCCAGAAGCAGCCCCTTGTGGGGGAGGTGGGTGCTGGCTGAACGCTGACTGAGCCCTTTGCTTTGTACCCATCCTGCTTATTCCCAAACAACAGAAGTGCTGCTCAGCCGCCTGGTCAGCCCCATTATGCTCTTGCCACAAAGTGCTGAGTCCAGGGGCTGCCCTGGCCCCATGACCTCACCCCTTCTGCGCTGGGCCTCATCCTCATCCTCATCCAGAGGCAAGGCCAGCAGTCCAAGCCGTCCATAAGATTCTACTGAGCACCTTCCACGCATCGTCTGCAGCCCTAGTCTTGAGGAGCGCGACGTTTAAACTGAGCAGGTGGCATTTGGAGGGCTGTCTCTTTCCCCTGAGGGGCCTTCATCACCTTCGAATCAACGGCCCATCCCACTGGACAGCCAGTTGCCCCAGGGTGCTGAGAACACAGTTCACAATCCACGTCCCCAGTCGAGCAGGGCCTTCAGAGAATTTGACAGAATGTACTGCTAAAATCAAATAAACACACACACCACCACCGACAACAACAACAAAACCCATATAAACAAAAGTATTGGGAAAAAAGAAAAACTGAATGAATGTGGTCTTTTCCAAATTCAAAGAAAACATTCATCTGTTCCATTTTTCTAAGATCTTTGCTGCTTGCTCCCACTTGTCTCCGTGAGAATCTGGCACAAGACGGTATCTAATTTGGGACGATCGATAACCTAGTTGCCACTTATTGAGCTCTGAGTACCTAACGCGGCCCTAAAGACTTCGTCTCCCTCCGTCCGATGACAATGACTCGGGTAGGTGGTATCACCCTACTCTATGCCAGAGACGCAGGGCTGCCCAGAGGAAGGAATATGGTGTTTGGAGTCAGACGTGCATCCAAGTCGCTGCTGGGTTCCCTGAGCCAGGACGTGGCCCCTCAGAACCTCAGTAAGCTCGTAGGTAAAGTGGGTATTATAATGATCTCCTTCATGGGGTTGTTGTGAGGATAAAGGAAGTGCGGTCTAGATCACAGTAAATGCTCAGGACGCTGTAGGTGTTGTTATTAAGGCTGAAAAGGGAGAGACTGACATCCCGCTTGGGAGAAGGAATTGCAAGCTGGTTGTTCCGCTCATTTCCACTCCTGGAGCGGCTCTGCCCAACTTTCCTGGAAAGAGACTGTGGAGGTGGCTGAAGCCCCTAGGCTGTAACCATCAGAGGGGCAGGGGAAGCAACAGTTCCAGACAATGCCAGAGGGAGAATCCTCTAGAACTTGGTTACAAATCATATCTTCTCCAGCTTCCTCAGGCTTCAGGTCATTGAGGAAAGCAGGACAGGCTAGGGTGGCTCATGATGCCAGCCATATTGGATGGATCTTTGTAAATGGTTCACCCAATAACCCCAACTCCCGCCCCACCCCCTACACCCACAATAGTTTTGTGTCTGTGTGTTTGGGCTTTTTGATCCAACATAAGAGCCCCACTTTTCTGTAAAAAGTAAAAATGGCTCGATCAGTCTTTGTTGTACTAACACTTAAATGGGGTGGCACCTGAGTGGCTCAGTCGGTTAAGCGTCTGCCTTCGGCTCAGGTCATGGTCCCAGGGTCCTGGGATCGAGCCCCACGTCGGGCTCCCTGCTCAGCGGGGAGTCTGCTTCTCTCTCTCTCTCCCTCTGCCCCTCCCCCTCCACATGCTCTCTCTCACTCTCCCTCTCTCAAATAAATAAATAAAATCTTTTTTAAAAATGGGGTGTAAAGCTCCCAAATGAAGACACTGAGAGTATACAAAGCACAAACACAACGCAAGCAGGTCAGTTGTCACAGGGTAAGGACTACTTCAGTTACTTCTGTGCCCGCCGAGGTACAAAACTTCATCAGAGGATGTCATTCATTTATTCATCCATTCACTCAAAACATATTTACCCAGCTAGGAGCTATGCCCAGAACGGAAGATACAATGATGAACAAGACAGAGGAAGTCCCTGCCTTCCCAGAGCATGAAGTCCAGTAGAAGAGGCAGATAATTAAACAATTCGGCTTTTTTTCTTTTCAAAAATAGCTTGAGTGATTTTGATAGCAATTGTGTTCACGTTGTTCAAAACTCAAAAAGTACAGACAAATATACCGTGAAAAGTTTTATCCTCTACCTGAGCCCCTAGTGCCTCAGTTGCCCTCCTTGGAGCCCAATATTTCTGGTTTTTAAAGTATTTTCTACAGCGTCACCAATGCAATAGTTGAAGTACAGGGTGCCACGAGAGCACGTTGCCAGTCCAGGGGGCCAGGGAACGAACGAGTGAACAAATGACCAGATAGGTGTTTCCCTAAGACCCTAATTCTGTGCATGAAGAGAAGGAAAGGTGAGGAAGAACCACCAGCCACGGACAGCTGGTCCCTTAATCCTTTGCACGGCCACCAGCCGGCCAGAGCCTGCCATGATCCCCAAGGCAACTCTGTCCCTTGCCAGCCATTGATCTAGACATCCCCAATTAATCAAGCAGCAAAAACATCCCCAGGGTGGCACACCAGCATCAGGCCTAGGTGTTTGGAATGTTCTGCTCAAATCTGCAAATACTTGTGTCTATATCAGAACTCGCCCCCTGGGTTTTGGTTCTACAAAAAGGGCGCTCCAACAAATCTTGAGTCACAGGCTGGACCCGATTGGCAGAGGGATTGGGAAAACTTTACCGGGAAAAGTTTCTTCCTCTCTCCAAGCTGCTATGGAATTTTCTACGTTATCCGTCACCAGAAAGAGAGGAGGGTAATAAACAATAATAAACCTGTAATGTGTCAGGTCGATATGATCTCCTTTTGCAGGGTTGAGAAAGGTGGAGTGACTTGCCCAGAATCACCTAGCCAGGAGAGCTGGGAACCGAACCCATGTTTGCCTGCCTCAAAGCTCTCCTCACCCTTGCTTCTCATAGTAGCTGTGATAATTGAGCAACACCTCGGGGCTCCTGGGGAAGCCCATGATTCCCCTGCACTCCTCTCCCCAAATGCCCTGAACCTCCAGGGAGAAATCATCGGAGCCTTTAGGGTACTAAAGGCAGAGCACCTTGGGAACTGTGGGATTTCCAAGGTCCTGAAACCATATAGTAACAATCCCAAAAGATTCACTGGCCCCAAATTTTAAAATAAAACTGCAAAATTAAAATGAATATTTGATACAATAGCCACAGAGAGATTCATGTCCACTAGTCAACCATTATTGAATTCAACTCTTACAGATTTCTCTTTTTTTCATTTAAATTCAATTAATTAACATATAATGTATTATTTGTTTCAGGGATACAGGTCTGTGATTCACCAGTCTTATCAGATTTCTATATAAATATACTATAATAAAGATTCCTGAGAATACAGTGAACCTTTTTTTTTTGGTCCAAATAAAGTTCAGAATTTTTACAGCCCTTTCACATTTTTTCAGAGCAAAAATGTCTATCGTGGATGGGAAATGTTGGCCGTGACGTGGGGTCCGAGGAAGGTCCCAGGGCAGCATGAGGAACTTGGAGAAGGGTAAGGGACCAGCACTCACACAGAGACCCGTCCTCACCTCGCAGCTGTTCCTGAGATCAAGACCACGGCCGCCAAGGTCTGCAGCCCCCAGCCTCGCCCTTTGGATTTCTGTTTCTCCAGTTTAAACAAAAGCCTGAGGGATGCCTGCCCAGCAGGCTGAGCCACCAAAGCTCTGGGGATCAGGGAGAACAAAAGCCGAGGGAAAGCAGAGTGCTGACAGGGCCTGAGGCCCTCAGCCGCAGGGCTATAAAGAGCAGGGCCGCAGAGGAAGTGGCACCAGATGGAGACCCAGACTGTGCAGCAGGAGCTGGGTGAGTAAAGCCCTGCAGGGTGCCCTGGCCCTTCCATTCCTCCCCCTACAGACACACGCCCAGGAAGGGGGCCCGGTTTTTCTCCGAGCCTCCTGGCCTGGCTGGAGAAGAGTGGGGAACTCTGGGGGAAGGCAGCCTTCTCTTGCCGCCCCAAGAAGAGTCATTTATATGGCAGTGAGCCCTGGCCTCGCCATCAGGGCTTGGAGGGTGCCTGGGGCTCCAGGAAATGAGCAGGCTCCCAGGGCATAGGGAGAAGGTCGGGGGGAAGAGGGGGGTCAGAGGTGCAGAATGGAAAGATGTTTCGCAGAGTTTACAAATGCATCAGCCCCTGGGCCTGATACCAGCCAGAAAGAAGGGCTACAAATAGGCTGTTTTGAGCCTGTCTTCTTCCCTCCTTCCCTCCCTCCTATCCTTCCTTCCTTTACCCTTTTCTGTCTACCTAACCTCTGTGAGCCTCAGCATCCTCACCTATAAAATAGAGAGGATGACACCACTACCCTCATAGGCTTGGTGTCAAGATTAAATGTATTAATGCGTATCAAGCATCTCGAACAGGGCCTGGCGTAGAGTGAGCCATTGTTAGCGATCATCACCCCACTTTTCTTTTTTTTTTTAAAGATTTTTTAAAATTTATTTATTTGACAGAGAGATAGCACAAGTAGGCAGAGCGGTAGGCAGAGGGAAAGGGAGAAGCAGGTTCTCTGCTGAGCAGGGAGCCCAATGCGGGGCTCGATCCCAGGACCCTGGGATCATGACCTGAGCCGAAGGCAGACGCTTAACCGACTGAGCCACCCAGGCGCCCCCACCCCACTTTTCTTGCTCACTTTCCTTCGGTAATTCTTTTTCAATGCCACCCATCCCCCATCCCCATCCCGAACGGCCTGGACTTGGGCCCAGCACGGCCCGCACCCCTCAGTCAGGAGACCCAGGCCCTGCCACTGAGGGGTCCACCCGGGACACCTTCGATGGACAGACAGATTGGTACTCTGACGAGTGCTGGGAACCGGGAGAGAATGGCGGCGGAGTGGCGCGTGCGGCCGGTCGCCAGTTGGCATGAGGCTGGGGGGAGCCAGGGGGAGGGGACCCCACGCCGGTGGGCTGGATGGTCGCCAAGGGCTTTACACTGGGGTAGGCCAGACGGAGCCAGTGCTGCCGCCCACAGGGGGCACCTGGAGACAGGCAAGGGGGCGACGGCCACATAAATCAAGAGGTCGCACGGCCTGGGCGGCCCGTCACCTGCATTGTCACTTTGAATCCTCCCGGTACCTGCGCGTAGAAGCTCTGTCTCCGGGAAACAACAGAGGCTCAGCCAGCGAGCCGCCCAGCCGGGGCCCCAGCAAAGTCTATCTACTGGACTCGAAGCCCCCTTTGCTTCCTCCTGTGCTGTCACCTCATCCTCCACCCCGGAGGCCATGTCACTGATGGGTGTCTTGTCTTCCAGAAACCCTTCCAACCACCAAGATGGCTCAAACCAACCCCATGCCGGGGTCCGTGGGGCCATGGAAGGTAAGCTCACTCCCATCACGCGGAATACTGAGCAGTCCCACTGGGCAGGGCATGAGACGCGGCCACAGTGCAGGCCCCGGGCCTGTGCTTTTCCATGGGACAATGACCCACGGATAATATACCAGTTTTAGGGGAAGAGTCGACCCAACTTCCAGATGTTGTCTCAGGAAGGAGCTTTCAGAATGCACCATTCTGACAGAAGGATGACCCTGGAAGCCCGTGATGGGTGGAAGATGATACCTAATTTTCTAGGTCACCTCTCCTCCACACTACTAAAATCATCTTTTTTTAAAAAAGATTTTATTTATTTATTTGAGAGAGAGAGAGAGCAAGAGCAGGGGGTGTGGCAGAGGGAGAAACAGACTCCCCACTGAGCAGGGAGCCCAACGCGGGGCTCGATCCCAGGACCCTGGCATCATGACCTGAGCCGAAGGCAGACGCTTACCAACTGAGCCACCCAGGTGCCCCTAAAATCATCTTAAAACAGAGCAGCCCAGGGGCACCTGGCTGGCTCAGTAGGTGGAGCCATGCACCTCTTGATCTCGGGGTTGTGGATTGGAGCCCCACGTTGGGTGTAGAGATTACTTGAAAATAAAATAATAACAAAAAGAATAAAAAAAATAGAGCAGCCCAGAGTGGAATATGCTGCCGTGGAGAAACGAGTCCAGAAATGAAGACAGATTTGCCACCAGATCCCAGACCAGGTCTCCTGACTCCCAACATGAGGTTGATGGTACCCATTGCCTGAAGTGGCCGATCCTCAGCTTTTCGCTGTTTTCCTCAACACCCCTACCCTCTTCACTGGGTCAACTCTGAGGACAGTTCACAGCTTTGGGTGTTTGTCCTCCAGCCAGGTTCAAGAGCCAAGTTCTAGTTTAAGGTATGAAAGGGGTTTATCACAATTCTCCATTTACACTGTGCGTTTCTGTAGTGGATGTGGCTGGAGAAGATAAGAAATAATCCACAGGAAGGCCTGGGAGTCCCAGAGTCTGGGCCTCTGGGCCACACTTACATAGGAAGTATGGTGGAAGAAGAGTCCACAAGTCCTTGGTCTGTCCACTGGGCCCGGTGTTGTTCCTGGCAAACCATTCCTATCATAAACCCATCCCCACACTTCATCCCTAGCCTAGGCATGTAAACACCACCAACCAGTGGTATTAATCCAAGCCCCTTCCTATCCTGTCTATACCGGAAGAGACCCTACCAGACATCCTGGGCTATAGCTAGTGATGAAAAACACAGGGTCGGACAAAAGTTAAGCTCTTGACCTGGGCCTCTGTTCTTCCTGATGTACCACGTTCTAACTCTGTTTCCCCATTCAATTCCATTCAGATAACCATCTACGACCAGGAGAATTTCCAGGGCAAGAGGATGGAGTTCACCAGCTCCTGCCCAAATGTCTCTGAGCGCAGTTTTGATAATGTCCGGTCTCTTAAGGTGGAATGTGGCGCGTGAGTATGGACCTCAGCAGAAACCCAGGGCCCTTATTTGTGGTCTCTGTAGACATGCGGCCATAAAGATGGGGATCAGGGAAGAAAGATGTCCCCCCAGATTCTAATCCGTTCTGGGAGAGACCTCCATATGGAAGTAATCTCAAAAGAAATCACTATATGTGTAATTTAGTAACTCAAAGCTAGAAGGAACATGAGGTTCCTAGGGCTTAGTATTCGCTTTGGGTGGGGGAGGCTTTAAAGAAATGTAGACCATGGGGAGGGGCAGTGACAGTCATCAGATCTGGGGCCTCTAGAGCCCACATGCTGCTACCTAGGATTCTCTCAGAATAGCCACAGGACCCTTTAGTTTGTCTTGCCTACAGAAAATAGAGGAAACCTTCAAGCTGCAACCTCTTTCCCGCTAACTCCCTAATTTCTCTGTGTAAAAAGAGTCTCAACCCCAGGACCTAAGAGCCATATTAGGTCCCAGTTAGTCTTTGAGGAGTTTCTTGTTGATGATTGATTTCTTTGACGAGTTGGACTCTTGTTTTGTTTTCTGACTCTTTGGCAGGATAGTTGAGACCTTTACCATCAGCCTGAAAACACAAGGAAAGGACTCTCCTTTGGCCTAAGCAAAACGGGCTTTGCACTTGGAGAAGCTTCCACAAGTTGTGGGCCACCAAATTGAGCTAACCCTTTAAAGGGAGTAAAATACTTTAAGGTGTCATTGGAAACTGAGACTTGGCTGTGAAAAGTTGATCTGAGGTGTTTTAATAAATAAGGAATAGGTGTGTAACAGCAGGAGTAAGAACCCACAAAGTTAAAAGGAAACAAGAGACTAGTAACCCATCAGCTGCCGGTTTGCTTCCTTAGGAAGAAGCCAGTAGGTTTGGCTGGAGCCAGAGCGATAGTCAGTCACTAGATCCTGAACCTGGAGCTCCAAGTAGAGAATAACGGAACTTGGAGAGAAAGGAAATATAATTTTAGACTGACTTTGCTCATACACATTGCTCAGGTCAGTGAAGCAGACCCTTTCAGCGGATAATCCCAAAACAAATATTACATTTACAAACCTATTAATGTAGCTGCCAGCTCATTCCCCACCTCTTGTGACATGGCTCTATTGGAATTGGCTTGATATTTTACCGGACTTTTAACATGTAAAACAAAAGATGCCTTCTCCCTGAGGCCACATAGGCTCTGAACCCATGAACAAACGCCACTACTTGTCTTTGGCAGCTGGGTTGGCTATGAACATACCAGCTTCTGCGGGCAACAGTTTATCCTGGAGAGAGGAGAATACCCTCGCTGGGACGCCTGGAGCGGGAGTAATGCCTACCACATTGAGCGCCTCATGTCCTTCCGCCCCATCTGTTCAGCTGTGAGTCCCTGCATTTTTCACTTCCGTGCGTGTGAGGGGGTGGGGCAAGAGAGGGTGCATATGGCCTGACACTTAGTGCTACTTCTCATCAGTTATGCTGAAATGCAGCAGGAAGGACAAAAGTAAAAAAAGAGAAAAGAAAAACACTGGTCCCTCTGTTTCTAAATCTGCCATTTGGTTTTTCCCTAGTAGAAGGTATTTTCATTGAGCTAAAAGAGTGGCAGGAAGTGGATACTCAAGAGCCCACATCTTCAAAAGTGCAGTAGGATAACTAGTGAGAGCTAGTTTTGCCTGTTTTTGTACTTCATACGGGTTAGTCTCTGCCTTAATGCTTGCATAGTATTCATATCCCCTAGTGGACTTTAGGTTATTTCCAACACCGTACACACACACACATACACACAGGCTTGCTTTTTCTAGTAATTTGTGATCTTTTCTCACATTAGTCAATATTAATCCCTTGGTTAGCTGTGTGTTGCAAGTATTTTTTCCCGCTCTTATATTTTCTTCGTCGATCTTTTGTTGTCCCATAGTTCCATCAGTTATTTGTACATTTTAAATGTTATGGTTATTACATTGGACTGGACAGGATTGAGTAGTTCTTACCTCCATATTGCCTGAAATATTTTTACATTCAATGATCATGTACTTCCTTCTGTAAACCAGAAGTGTCTTGAATTTGAAAAATATGCTAATTAAAGAATTAAGACAGCCATTAACAGTGGTACCAAATAATTTAAAAAATTTTCTGGATTACAGAATCATAAGGAGTCTAAGATTACCATCTTTGAGAAGGAAAACTTCATTGGACGCCAGTGGGAGATCTGTGATGACTACCCCTCCTTGCAAGCCATGGGTTGGTTCAACAACGAAGTTGGTTCCATGAAGATACAATGTGGGGCGTAAGTGCAAAAACAGGGTTGGGGCACTTTTCAAAGTAACTCTTGCAAATGTAGACCTTGTGAACATTAATACATCAATGGTTACATCTTATCAGATTTCATACATTAGTATATTGATTTGGCTGGCACATTCTAGTTATTAATTTTCAAATTTCAAGTTGTTGGTACCAACTATCACTTAAGGTCAGTTTTTTCCCCTCTCAAATATTTCTCTGTGGAATTACGTTGACTACTCTTTTACCTTTTTTAAAAAGATTCATTTATTTGAGAGAGAGAATGCATGTGCATTAGCAGGGGGCGGGGCAGAGGGAGAGGGAGAGAAGCAGATTCCCTACTGAGCATGTTGCTCCATCTCACGACCCTGAGATCATGACCTGAGCTAAAATCAAGAGTCAGACACTTAACCAACTGATCCACCCAGGCACCCTCTTTTAAAAGTTTTTTCATGGGGCGCCTGGGTGGCTCAGTTGTTAAGTGTCTGCCTTTGGCTCAGGTCATAATCTCAGGGTCCTGGGATCGAGCCCCACATCGGGCTCCCTGCTCAGCCGGAAGCCTGCTTCTCCCTCTCCCACTCCCCCTGCTTGTGTTCCTTCTCTCGCTGTGTCTCTGTCAAATAAATAAAATCTTAAAAAAAAAAGGTTTCTTCATAATCAAGATTAATTTTCAACTAGCTGTAGCCATACTAGCTGTAGCCATATTATGCTCACAGAGCCTGGCATTTAGGATGGCTGTTGTTTTCTAAGCCTAAAAGCATTCTGTACCGATTGTGTTTAGGAAAGAGGCTCAGGTTTTAGGGTACTGACCACGTTCCTGACTGGTTTTAATAATCTACTGTGCTTTGGATTTTCTAGCTGGGTCTGCTACCAGTATCCTGGATACCGTGGTTATCAATATATCTTGGAATGTGACCATCATGGAGGAGACTATAAACACTGGAGAGAGTGGGGTTCTCACGCCCAGACTTCCCAGATTCAATCAATTCGCCGTATCCAACAGTAGTGGATTAAAAGCTCCAAGTAAGAGAAACCTTGCTAAGCAATCTAGAATGAGTTTTATGTTAGCTGCTGAAATCCACAATAAATGTCATTAAAAAAAAAAACAACTGTGTAGACTGAATTAACTACCATACTTCTTTTTTTCAAAGATTTGAGTGTGCACGTGCAGTGGGGGAGGGGCAGGAGGAAAGAGAAACTTAAGCAGACTTAAAGCTGAGTGCAGGGGCGCCTGGGTGGCTCAGTCGTTAAGCGTCTGCCTTCAGCTCAGGTCATGATCCCAGGGTCCTGGGATTGAGCCCCGCATCGGGCTCCCTGCTCTGCGGGAAGCCTGCTTCTCCCCCTCCCACTCCCCCTGCTTGTGTTCCCTCTCTCGCTGTGTCTCTCTCTGTCAAATAAATAAATAAATAAAATCATAAAAAAAAAAAAAAAGCTGAGTGCAAAGCCCAACTCAGGGCTCCATCTCAAAACTCTGAGATCAGGGCCCTGAGATCACAACCTGAGCGGAAACAGAGGCTTAACTGCGCCACTAGGTGCCTCTTTAAGTAGGCTCCACACCCAGGCCCAACGTGGGGCTTGAACAAGTCCTGAGCCAAGAGTCAGACGATTAACCAAATGAGCCACCCAGGCATCCCACCATACTTTTATATAAATCACATCTATAGGGCTGAGAATTTTTTTTAAGATTTTATTTTTTGGCAGAGAGACAGCAAGAGAAGGAACACAAGCAGGGGGAGTGGGATAGGGAGAAGCAGGCCTCCTGCTGAGCAGGGAGCCCAATGAGGGGCTCAATCCCTGGACCCTGGGATCATGACCTGAGCCGAAAGCAGAAGCTTAACAACTGAGCTACCCAGGTGCCCCAAGGGGCTGAGAATTTTTAAAGACAAACCAATAAAACCCCAAATTCCCTTTTGTATCCTTACAAGTCACTCACCAGGCCAAGGACAATTACTCCCTAACTCAAAGAACATAAAAGCATATGAAATGTATCAATCTAGTGTTTTTACATCTCTTCCCCTCATTCCTTACTCTAATATGTTGCTGTTAGCATTGATTTTCTTCAACTTGTGACAAATCATACACAAACTTAGGAAGTGTCTCAAATATGCATTGCCACAGGGGCGCCTGGGTGGGTTGCCTTCGGCTAAGGTGGTGATCCCAGGGTCCTGGAATCGAGCCCCACATCGGGCTCCTGGCTCAGTGGGGAGCCTGCTTCTCCCTCTGCCTCTCCCCCTGCTCATGCTAGCTCTGTGTCTCAAATGAATAAATAAAATCTTTAAAAAAAATATGCATTGCCATGGATTTCTACATAAAGTTACAAATAAATCCAGAATCTTGGCAACTTATTCTAGTTGCTTAATTGCTTAGCTCAGTTTTGGCTTATTTTAATTGGAAGAACATAAGGTTCAGTGTGCATGCAAAAAAGTAGGATAGCTATTCTCACAGATCATTTTTAAATATGCCAATTCTAAGCACTTTGATAACCTGTATGATCTGTCTTAAAGCAATGACATATGACCCATGGTACACTTAAGACTTAATTTGTACATTTGACCCTTTGAAAAAATATCATTATGTCACAATCATAGATTTCAGATTTTTAAAAAACTTAAAAAGCACACAAAAGATAACACAAACACCTCAGAAACTTTAAAATTTTTTATTCAACAATGTACACTTATTGTCTCTTAATTTGATCTACAAATTTCTCAAGGTTTTTTTTCCTGATAAAATAAGTAAATCTGGGTATGGATGTAGAGTGTTTGTAATTTATATTTTTGAAACACTGAACATGGAGTAAGACATCAATAAAGGAAGATCATCATGTAACTGACACTTCCTCAGAATCCATGACATCAGAAACAGCTATGGCAAATACTTAAGCAATTAGCAAAAGGGTAAATTTCTGGCCACTGTTCTTTTACCTAGAAAAGGCCTATCTTTTTGACTGGGCAAAACAAACACACAAAAAAAATCTTAATTGGGAGAGGGAAGGAAAAACATCCTCCAACATAATTGTAGTCCACTAATTATCCTTTCCCGAAGATCAAGAAGAGGTAACTCAGCTCCTAAGTGCTGATGCACACAAGACAGAAATTACTTTGCTCCTTCATTCAACATGTTCTAAGACTGAACATAAGTGAACTGACAGATGCTGAGGAGTAGTCACAGTCATCTAAGATGATGCTGCACTCCCGCATTTCTGCCTTTTAAGGCCAGGCATGATGGGCTACCTTTCCAATCTTGACTATAAGATTTAGTTTTTGACTGTCACTTTCAGAAGGAAGGGTTTTGCTGTTTTCAAAGTCAACAACATACATCAAGGGCACACTTGATGACAGAGAGTAACCCTCTTCTAAACGTAGGAAAAAACTTAACAATCAGAAAGATTTCTTTTATATCTAGGAGCATGGGGAAAATACCATTAATAATATCTTCTACTTAAACTTATTTAGCCTCTTCTATAAAAGTTCTAAGGAGGTTAAAAAACAATCTTTTAAAAGATGATTTGACAAACCTGGCCAGTACATCTACACAATCGTTTAAAGTACACATATATGTGAAGTAAAGCTACTTAGTACATGCAGACTGCAGCAATTTAACCAAATTCGCCCAGTTTCTAAACTTTATTCTAATCAGCTTGGGCAATTTTTAAAAGATACACATTATCTTTAAAACAACCTGTGCTTTATCTTTAAACAGCTGAATGATCCTAATCTCAAGTCATTCATTCAGTAAAACCAAACATACACTAAAGCAATAAAGGGAAAAAGGTTATCCTACCTTTAAACCAGGCTTAAGACACAGAATCGTCACAGAACTCCATGTGGTAAAGGTCCTTCCCTCCTATTTGAGTTACCTCCCATTTCTATTTGATCAAATAAACCAACGTTTCCATGAGGAAGAGCATCCAAAAGTTTGTAAAGCTGATAAAACTGCCCTGTGTCAAGAAAAGCCCTTTAGTAGATACAAGTCCAGCTCTCATTTAAAGTTTATTAAAATAGGTGCCAGTTTTCCTCTCTTCTAGTTCTACTGATGAGCTAGACCAGAACTATTACTTTGAGCCATGTTTCTAAAGATGGTAAAGCTAAGAACAGCAAAGTAATAAGGATAGGTCACTTTTGGTAATGACACACAAATTAAACTTTCAAAACATGTGCATAGCTTTATTCATCTACTTAGATCTAACCTTTCCATGGAGCTTCAGCAAAATTCGAGTGTGCAAAATGCATTTCTAAAACGTAATGCAAGCAAAGCTTTTCACATTTACACTGGCAGGAAATACAGAGAAACTAACAAGTCACATTAGGGAGAGTTCAGATTTTTTTTTTTTTTTTTAATGACAAGAATTGCACAGTTCATTATTTTGAGACAATTGTTGCAGACATAAATACTTAAAATTTTCTAAGCCAAGGTGCTTTAACAATAAAAATTTTTTAAGTTGGGAAGAGCCAGTAACTTGGATCATAGCTCACAAAGAATTCCAAATTAAAGTGGACTCCATTATCTCCCTAGATTTTGCAAACAATGCTTTTTATAACACTTTTTTATAACACTAAAGGAGACCGCAAGCTGAAACTTTTTTCAAAGCACACAAGAAATGGTGTCATCACATTACTTGAAGAAGGTGCTGAGGGGGTAGGGAAAGGGAGTGAAGAATCCTTTTACTATTTCCCACTACAGAACAGCCACTAACAGATTAAGAACAAAAAAAAGAAACAACAAAAAAACTAAATTAAATCACTTCCCCAGTTTATAAAATAGTTCCAGTTTGTGACAAGATCTATAACTTTAAACAGAGAGCACCAGTTGGGCGACAGAATGAGCATTTCATACTGCATAAAAATTAGTGAGGTGGTAAGACCCATCAACTATCTCAGGCATTACTACATGGCCTTTCCAAACTTTTTTTAATATACATGCAAGGCACATTGATATAAAAATAGATCTCTGGCCAACAAACATATTAAATAAGCAAATTAAAATTTTGGCTTGGCAATATTGGCAACATCAAAATATAACCAGATAGCTTTGGACCACGTATCTTTCTCATATTCCTCCACCCCATTTGGTGTTTTCTCCTCCATTATTTTGGGTTCAGTCTCCTTCAAGTTTGGGTATGTGCTTGAGAAAATGACTTTTCCTCTCGTCAAGTAGCATTCTTACTAAAGTTTATCTTTGCTAAGTAAAAATATACTAGAGAAGCAAAATAGTTGTTTTGATTGATTTGATTACATCAAATTCGATTGGCTCTGGATGGCATTATTTCTCCTCTGTATACAAACAAAAAAGTCCCCAGCTTATATAGTAGACAATTGTTTTCTCTCTAAGATAAATCAGCAACAAACCAATGATACTTCCTTTAAACCATTCTTCCCAAATCCTCTTTTCGAGGCAGAGAGGGAATAAGAGAAATAAAATTAAGATTTAAAATATTTTCAGTAGTAGAAGACATTTTAAGGCCAAAAAGTGTTAATACTAACAATTTTTATTTTCCTAAGTTATTGCCCTTCATAGGCCAATACCATAAATAGTTTATTTGTACTGATTCCCTCCTGAAGAAAATTTAATTCATTCACTTTTGTTAGTGGCGGTGCTACAGCAAGGGTATTCAAAGCAACTTATAAAGGTATGGTATATAGTAATGTAAAAAGTGCATCACATTCTTGATTTTCAGTTTCTCATAGCAGCAGCAGGATTAATCCAAGACAGAAAACAGTTTTATTTTCACTCTAAAAATGCAACAACTCCTAATGAAATGTATTCAAGATTATGAATCCCTCCTCTATAGAGGATAAATGAAATAGACTAATAACAGACAGACAGGGGCAAACTAAAGGCATTCATTCATATTTACATATTAAAACCATTTTTAACACCAAATCTTTACATCTAGCAAAAGAAATGTTTAAGAATAAAAGACATTATTAAAGCAGTATCCATTTTTTGGAGCCTTTGTTTAGCACCTGAGGAAAAAAGGGCATATGGAAAGCTATATAATTTACCTCAAGTTGGTTTCTTGGTCTGTAGAGTAAAATTCTGATATACAACAAAAGTGAAACTGAACTGGAAAATGTCTGTAGCTATTTTAATAAGGCTGTAGAAA